GGACGAGGCCGAGGGTGGTAAGGAGGAGCATGGCGCGGAAAGTGTTCAGGGTGGAGAGAACGCGGTGCAGCGGCCTGGTGGCCTGGTTGGCTGGGAGGATCTCCGGGGGAGGCTCGCCTCCAAAGTCCTCGAGCTGCGTGCGTAGGGGCTCGGGAACCGCCACGATGAAGCAGGTGCCGACACAGAAGGCGACGCAGCCGATCACAGCCGAATATTCGAGGGCCAAGGGGGGAGCATATCTGTGGATGACGTTCGAGACCACAAGCCCGGCAAGGGCGGAAGACACCACGAGGCCAAAGTGTTTCGAGCGCTGCTGGTCGTTTGTGGTGTCGCTCGTCATGGCCAAGACGGCGACCTCGGCGGACGTCTTCCCAGCGCCGATGACGAAGAAGAGGAAACACAGGACGCCACGTGATGAAGTCTGAATAGTCGTGATGAGGATGCCGGAGAAGAGGCCCCAGAGGCAAGCACTCAAGACAAAAGCCCCGCGCCGGCCATTGACGTCGGCCCATTTGCCCATGGTGTAGGCGGACAGGAGGCCGCCGGCGGACTGGCAGACCAGGACGACGACACCGGTCCACTCGAACTCCTCGTTAACGGCGTCGGCGTGACATAGACCGTGGTCGACGGGAACTTTCTGGGGCAAGCCGTAGAGTTGTCGGCAGACGGATTCTCGCAGGTATGCTTGGACGGAAACCTGCACCATGGAGGCGCCAAAGGTCATTGAGAAGGCCATGAGCATCAGGAATACAAGTATGTGTATGCTCCAGGCTCGGGCGGCTGTCGCGCTGTTGGTTGACATTGTTGACGGCATCGTGGCTGTTTCTCGATACCGTCTTGGGTAATTTCGTTGTGGATGGGGAGAGTTCTCCAATGTATCTCGTAGATACTAATGTTTGAAGATCGTCGACAGTCCTGCTTTGAAGAGTCAATAACAGAAGCAAATATCAGAGGCTGAACAGAATTGCCATTTCCGCCGCGAAGAAGCTTTTCTCAGAATCTCCGGTGAAAAACAGGTTTAAGAAGAACCACGGAAAACGATAGGAGGTTGTATGATTTTGTCAAGTCATACGTGTGCCTCGTTGTCCATATAGTACTGGAGTGTGAGATGGACGGTGGATAAGATGGGTACCAACCTAGAAAACTTCGTCTCGAATGCCTCTGGCTACCTTTCTATCTTTCGACTAGGCCAGTCAGAGCCATCCATACGATTAGAGCGAATGTAATGAGAAAACAGCACAGGTCGGTCTCAGTTGTGTTGATGGAATCATATCTCTTGGGCATAAAAAGTCGTTGGCGTAGACAAATCCCCTAATAAAAGCGGTCTTGAGTATGTCAGAGTAGGTAAGTATGGAACGAAGCCGAGAGAACTTTTTAAAAATCATTCATCGTGAACCTTGGTAGCCCGTCACTCATAGTCCCGCGCGTAGACTTGTTTCCCGCCCACCCAGGTCTCCTTGACTTTGAGCTCCCGCAGCTCGTCAAGGTCCAAGTCCTCCAGAGGCTGGTCCAGCACGACCCAATCAGCCAGCGCGCCCTCCTTGATGAGGCCGGCTCGTCCTTCCATGAAGGCACCGTAGGCCGGGCCATTGGTGAACCCTAGCAGCGCCTCGTCGAGACTTAGAGCCTCCTCGATATGCCAGCCATCTTCACTTCCATTGACGCCGTAACCCGTATGGGGGCTCTTGCGGGCGACGGCAGCATAGATACCCTGAAAGGGATTGGGCGGCTCGACGGGGAAGTCGCTGCCTAGGATCGGGTGGACGTCGAGGAGTGACCGCATCCGGTATGCTTCTTTTTTGGTGCGCTCTGCCCCAAGTCGTAGTTCGGCGTACTTCATATCGGATGTCGCATGCGTCGGTTGGATAGATGGTATAATACCAATGTCATGGATCCTCTTCTGGTCATCCTCGTGGATGATTTGCGAATGCTCGATGCGGAATCGTCGTCGGGCCTGGCAATCTGCGAGGTTCTCATCGGGGCATACATCTCGCAGGCCAGCTTCGAGGGCGTCGACGGCGTAGCGGTTTGCCAGGTCACCGATGGCGTGGATGTTGACCTGGTATCCGACGGATGCCCAGGACCGTCCAAGCTGTTTCAAAGTCGACCCGTTGACAAGAAGAGAGCCGGCGGTATCGGGACGATCACTGTATGGCTCGATCATGGCACTTCCCCAACTTCCAAGAGCGCCGTCTGGAAAACGTTAGTCTCAGTGGGCCTTTTCATATCAAACATTTCAGAAAACATACCTGCAAAAAGCTTGACGGATTTGACGCTGAACGAGTCATCCTCACGGAACACCCGAGCAGCGTCCTCGGGACAGAAGGTATTTCGCTGAGCACATTCCAACATGGCATACACGCGGACAGTCCAGTCGTCCGTGCCTGCCATATTGGCGTACAGGTCGAGCTCTTGCGGAAAGACGCCGGCATCATGCATACCAACCAGACCGACCTCGTTCAACTTGGCCATGGCGGCTGCAATGAATGCCCGCTTCTTCTCGGGTCCAGGCTTCGGCCACAAGTTGTAGATCAGGTCCATGGCGTTGTCACAAAAGACGCCCATGCCTGGCTCGCGGACGATCTCACCGCCAGGCACGTCTGGGAGATCTGCAGGCAACAGATCGAGCACAGCTTGTGACACCCATGAACAGTGGACATCTATCCGGTCGAGCATGAAGTATTTGCCCTTCAGAAGCTCATCTTCCTCAATGTCTTTCTGATCGGGAATTAGACCCATCACTGGGCAGAGAGGGGCGAAGAGGACTCACAGCGGTCGGCATTCGTCCGTACGCCGACTGATCCCAGCCAATCCCTCGAATCCATTCATTCTTGGTGCCGGCATCAGGATGGCTGTCGACGTAGTCCCTCAAGCGATCCCGAACATCATCCAAAGAAGAGGCTCCGAACAGATCGGCCGAGTAGAGAAATTCGCCATACTGACTCAGGTGACCGTGGCCATCCCACAGACCAGGAATGACGAAGCCAGCCGTGGTGGTCAAGCTTGCATCATCCCATGGGAACACACGAGTGAACTTGCCGTCGGCCACAGTGAAGCATTGGGCTGACGGCTGGTCCTCATCGTGCGTACGGATGCCTTGGTAGCAGTACGTTTGGGTGTCATCGATGTCGCCTAAGAGGGGCTGCTGGAGACGCACGACGGCGATTGCGACCACGGCCGCGGCGGCTGAGAGGCCCAGTCCCCACCTCAAAATTGGATTCGAGGACATGATGCTGAAATTCTAGCCACTCATCGAGGTAATTAGTGTCTCAATTTGAGTCAAATGGCTTGCTTTGTTGGAAGACAACGTCCTGAAATTCGGTGTGGAAAGTCGATATCCTTATCGCCATCTTTGATAAGGAGATGCTATCTTATCAGGCATGTGGAAGCAGGGATGAGAGCTTCGGGGATACTTCTTGAAACCAACATCCTTAACTTCATCACCCAGTGTCCTTGAATGTCCAACATTTTTCATGGCAAAAGACATGCCATTTATGCACCACGATTTGAGGGAGGAATCTGGCCACGGGAATTTAAGTGCATCTGCGGGCAAACGGCTTAATATGCCCCTTACAAGATCCCCGTTGCTGCAAACTGCCGCCACACAGAACGTTGAGGCGTTGTCATTATGTGCAGAGTACGCAAACGGTAATATCAATAGTTAGACCTCAATATTCGGGGCTTGGCGCCACATGACGGTCTCGTGGAATGAACACTAGCTCCTGTCGCTAGAAAGCTTCAAGAAGTTTGTTCCAACGGGGGCGGGCTACATTTGTCCGCGTCTTACACAGGGCTGTTTACAACTCCAAAACGTCTACTCCAACAACCTCCGGTCAATTATTGAGGGGCGCAGAGGTTGCCTGCCCCAGGCTACCGTCTGCCTCACCTACAACAACAGTCATTCGCCTCAAAAATAATCTCCTCCTCCTTTGAGATACCCAAACTCGATACCGCCAGTATCATCGTTCCTTCTCCGACATTTAAGAAATATCGCTTATCGCCAAAAATGCCCATGAACCGAGACCAGCTAGAAGCTCTCACAGAGAGGGACGTCCACGAGCCCATCCCCTCCGAACTCTTACAGCAGGCTTTGAGCACGCCGCCCTTCCTCCCTGTCCCCGAGCTCATCAACATCCGCGACCTTGGTGCCGTGCCCGGCTCCGGTGTCCGTCCAGGTCTCGTCTACCGCTGCGGCATGCTCGAAATCGCCAACCAGAACCCAGAGGCGCTCGATTGGCTGGCCGCCAACGTGAAGCAGGTTTTTGACGTTCGTGGCTCTGCGGAACGTGGGAAGCATCCCGATCCAGAGGTCGCAGGAGTTGCAAACACATGGCTCGAAAGTGCGGGCGCCCACACCCCGCCTGACCTGAATGATTTTGTCGAGGCCGGGGGCGAAGTTGGGCTTCGGAAGGAGTATCTCAAGGTCCTTGATTTATACCGACCGATCTACCGAGCCATATTGGAGCACGTGCGCGACAAGCCCGAGGAATCTTTTCTCTTTCACTGTACCGGTATGCATACCTTTCCTGGACATTCTAATGGAAAGAAGGCCAAATACTGTTGCGGCGCGTGGCCGCCAGCCAAGCCCAACTAATAGGAAAACCCCCTTATAGCCGGAAGAGACCGCACCGGCGTGATGGCAGGTCTCCTACAATCTCTCGCGGGCACCGCGCCCGAAGACGTCCGCTTCGACTACATGCTCTCGCGCATCGGCACCGAGCCAGCGAGGGAGCGGCTCCTCCAGCAGGCCCGTGTCGGCGGCGGTAGCCTCACTTTCGAACAGCACCCAGGCTTCTACAACCTGTGCAGCCTGCGGACGTCGTGCTGGGATGCGTTTATCGCGGCATTGCAGGAAGCGCATGGCGGCTGGGAGGGGTACGTCGTTGGGGCTCTGGGGTTTTCGAGCGACGATTTGGCTAGGATCAAGGATAACCTTTCTGGGCGCGGAGACTAGACGGCGTAATCTTGGACTGTATTGATGGTCGGAGCCTATGGCAACCATGTGCTGTTCAAGGCTTTTCAAGGCACCAAGAATACAGTTAATCTCTCAGAAAGTTCAGTGGCGCGGTGAGCCACCTCGATGGTGATGTCCTCGATGTAAGGAAAGCAATACTGCCGCGCTGGGTCGTTCTCCCTCGCGCAGGCAAGTAAGCCGCAGTTCCACTGAACCAACTCCTCTCATCATTGCAAATGGAAGTGTGAAGGGTATGAAGGGTGTCTCAAACTGGCGGAAACCATACCACAGTAATCTGCCAGCCTACATCTTACCTCCACCCATGGCCATATCAGGAGAATAGCCTGCTTAACAATCCCATACGAACGAGGAAGGCCCAGCACGGAGTCGCTCTTTTTCACCGCGCTCACTGCGGTCCTCGCTGCGGTGGTAGGAGCCAACTCTACCAAGCCATATACTACTTGGCTGTAGACGTTGCAGACAGATGGACAGTGGCCTTGATGAGGATAAGATTTCCCGAAAAGAATGGCAACAAGTCTCTGTATACGCAAAGTGGCAGGAAGACCTGGACAAGGTTTGAGGAGGGCGGCAACGTGGGCGCCTTGACAGCATCGCTTTCCGCGCTTCAAGCATTTGCTCTCTGCTTCCCCAACATCATTATCTTCCTTGGCCTAGAGGATCCGACACATGAGCGATAAGGAGCTGTGCGTCTGACGACCGGACAAATTGCACCATCAAGGGGATCACCGTTCCAAGACCACCAGCTATGTCATTTCCCCTCAGTGATGTTCCGTTCCACCTCATTCCAGACCCGAGAGGATTCTCTTGACCTCGCTCAGGGGAGTCGAATCCGCGGCCAAACAAGAGGCCAGAGAAGGCTCGAACCCGCAAAAACTGACGTCGAATGATTGAAAGTCTAAGAGGTACACAGTCAAACCGTCGTCAGCGGCCGCAAATCCCCCATGCCTATCACTCCCTCCCCCATTGCGACTTTTCTCACACCAACAAATGATGCGTCCAACAACACACTAATCTTTGAGATCAGCCAGTGTGGTACACACAAAGAGGGAAGGTCAGACCGTCCCAGTCACCCAGTCTATCTACGTTTTGATCATTAACTGGGGGAGAAAACAAGAAACTGAAGAGAACCGTTTGGGTCCAGACCCGTCCGTAAAGGTGTGACTTGTCACACCTATCTGCTGTGGTACGAACCAACCGTTACGCATGACATCATAATGTACCTTGATAAGGTAGGAACCTTGATTTACCGGGTCAGCCACACCTTCGCATGTGCCACAACTCTAATTGGCGGAATCAACAATCCTACTACCCCTGGCGCAGGCAAGAGACAGGGGTATGAGGCTGGACCCGATGGGCTTCCTTCCCTCGACCGCAACTCGACGTCACCAGCCACAGGACCCTCCAAAACTTGATTTTGGGCTGATGGGCTTGGGGCTGGACGCTCACCTTGACCTCACCTCGCAGCTGCGACAACAAACGGAGGGCAAAATCACTTTGAGGTCTCCCCCGAAGCTGTCGTTCTGGCCAGCCTTGGCCATTTCTTATCACCCACGTACGGATACAGCCTGCCCGGCTCCTCCTACGTAACAATGTCTGAATGTACCCCATGTCCAGTCCCCTCCTCCTCGACGGAATGAACTGCAAGGGACGTCACCCCTTTCCCAGAATCAGGGTCCGACGACACCCTCCCACTTCTCTATCCCCTCCTTACGGATGCCCATTTGCCCATCTTCCTTTTGTCGTCAGAGGGAGAGTCACGAAACGAAAATAGGGTCCAAAGTGTGGAACCAAGGACGCAGGTTTCGGACCCTTTGCGCATCGATCCCACCAAAGGATGCCTGCCACACACCTACTGTTTATACGAATGGAAGATAGCCTTGTCGCCATTGGCGCAGTATGTATTGTAAAGACACGGAGATTCAGACTAGAAGACCACACATACACATACAAACGTAGATCCCCTGGACCCTGACATCATCCCCTCTCACAGGGTCCCTGATCCCGCGAGACCCAACCCAAACCAACCACCCCTGTTCTGTTCACGAACCTCCCACCCCGCGATGATGACATGCCCAAATCACACAACCTTACCAACATACGCCATCTGACTTGGAACAGACATGCTGCGTAGCTGGTCACCCTCCAAAACCGCGACCCTGAATAGAACCACCAAAGAAACATATAAACCACCCTCCAAACCCACTTACATCTACCTTCCCTCTTCCCATCATCAGCATCAAGCTACAAAACAACCCAACCAATCTCAATCAAACAAACAACCAAAGACCTCAAGTCTTACACCACTACCCAAACAACCAAAACCACTTAAAAACAAACTCTTCACTCCCAAAAACCGCAATCATGCCTCTCAGATCCACCCGCCACACAACCACCACCGCCCCCCGCCGCAGCATCTTCTCCCGCCGCCGCGCGCCCGCCCACACAACCCACCACCACACCACTACCAAGACCACCAGAACCACCAAGCGCGGTTCCGGCGGCGGCCTCTTCTCCCGCCGCCGCGGCCCCGTCGCCCACACGGCCCCCGTCCACCACCAGCGCCGCAAGCCCTCCATGGGCGACAAGATCTCCGGTGCCATGCTCAAGCTCAAGGGCACCTTGACCCGTCGCCCCGGTCAAAAGGCCGCTGGCACCCGCCGCATGCACGGCACTGACGGTCGTGGCTCGCACCGCGCCCACCGCTACTAAGTGTGTGCGCAGTAGCATGTGAAAAATACCCCCTATCAATCGATAGATACCAACAAGCGAGTCTCTTATGTGTATGGATTATGATGGATTTTGGATACCTACTGTATTAGTACTGTTGAGAGCGATTTGGTTTATAGATACCATGTCTGTGTTACGATATGAAATAAACAAAGTAAAGTAAATTACCTTGCACATTTGATATTGAGAAGACTGTGACAAGTTTCATAGTTATCTTGAAACGATTTGATTTGTGACTACCTATCTGAGCTTCCTCCCCCTTAGCGTCCAATCACACCATTCGTCATCTTCCACTGTGGCATCCGTCCTCCATGGTGGCATTTGTATGCAATTCTGCAATTCTGCAAATGGGAGAATCTGATTGCGGTTTACTGGGGTTCAGTTTATGCAAATTCTCCCAGGGTCGGGTAGGGTCACAAAGTGGCACAGTCTGAAAGAGAGGAGTTGTTCTGTTGTCCTGTCGCGTAGGAAAAGCGGTCCACGAATTGTTGACACTCAGTTGACACTCGAATTTGCACAGCAACCGGTTGCCTAGGCCTAGTAAGAAGGCAGTAGGACTTGTATTAAGGTTGCCCAATGGTGCTTGTGAGTACTGGAGACCTGATGATTTCTTCGAGTCTCATGAAAAAGGAGAAAAAGTGCAGCCGGATCCGAAAAGCAGTCCAAGTCGAAATTGGATGTATTCTCCTGCGACACATTAGCTGATGAATTTTAGGAGACGGCAACAACTTACACAAATTTGGGGCGGGCCAATCAAAGAATGCAGGTGACTTGATTGTACCATCTCAATGTTTGGCCGCGGAAATACTCAATAGGTTTGCCGAATTGGCGCTTCCAAATTCCAGAAAAGAACGCGGGCGGGCTGTCTCCAAATTGTTGAAGCCAGCTGTGGAAGCTTGTAGAAGGCAGCAACGATACCAGAGCTTTTCCGTTGATGGTCCTTGGTCGAACTGCCCAGAACCACCGCAGGCAAAGAACCGATAGAATAGAGTGGTACCGCCAAAGATGATCCAATTTCTTCAGACGCATCAAAATTTCGCGACCGAGCCCTAGAAACGACGACGTCTCGGAGCATAGACGGTCACATCCTACTGCAACTCGTCAATATCCAGCGCATCGAAGTTCGAAGGTCGAGTGTAGGGGGTGTACCGAGGAGAAGGACGAGGGATTCGGGAACCAGTCGTCGTGATACGGGTGAACTCTTCGCGATTGTATCGACGCAGCGAGACTGCGCTAGCCTCTCCGATAACGACAGTAGGCTTTGCGACAGGCTGCTTGCCCTCACTCGACATCAACGCAGCATTCGCATCCTTGGGGCCCAGAGCAGCCGGTGCGAGGACGCCTTCCCACTTGGCCTCCAGTTCTGGCCGCTGTTCAGGCTCCTGCTCCATTTTCTCAATGACCATGTCGCGGAGTCGATCTTCGAGGACTTCAAGATCCTGCTTGCTGGGCGATGGGTGTTTTTTGGTGCTGGGCTCAGGCTGATCGCGGAAGAGTCTCCAGCCGCCCGACAGCCTCAACTTTTTTGGAGTAGGGCTGGGAGCACTAGGGCCTCCCTCAGTGTCGTTGATGGACGCAAGATGACGGTCGTCAGCCTTTGCATACCGCTTAGAGGGGCTCTCTCCGGAAACTGCCTTCCGGTCGGGTCGACGCGGGGTTGAAGCACAGACGGGCTTCTCAGACAAGATTCCTTCAAGGTCGGCATCGAAGTCCTTCTCAGTATCGAAAGGGTTCAAAGAAGGAACCGGAGGGATACCAGTGGAGTCAAGGCTACTCTTGAGGCGATGCTCAAAAGGAGTGGGGGGACGATTTGCGACTTCAAACTCTCCCGAGAAGGGATCTTCTGGTGAATCGCTGCCGCCAACCGAGCTTTCATCATCAGCCACGGCCTTACGAACGATGCGATCTCCGACGATGCTCTGAACCTTATGGCTATGCAGGTTGTTGCCTTCATTGAGACGAAGCTCGATTGAGCTGACGATAGATGTCTCTTCGAGTTCGACTTCCTCGAGGTGATAGTACGCCGCAGGGTTGGGCAGATCGCACGTGGTCAAACCAATGGGCGCTGAGATCTTGCCCCTGATCTTCGATTCTGGCGTTGCAGGCTTAGGCAGGATGGATTCGAACACGTGGCGAACCTTGGAGACAACCTTGTGACGACGAAGCAAAGAAGTCTTTGATGGAGGAAGTTTGGGTTTCTCCGAACCAGGGGGCTTCAGGGTTTGAGTTGCAGCCAGCATTGCCCCGGTCTTGATATCGACAAATTCGGGGTCGATCAAGCCTGATCTAGGACCGTTCTCTGGACCAAGAACCTGAACGGGAACATCCTCGGTGTCGAGATCCTTTCCGACGGAAGCCTGGCCGCTGATTGCCTGGATGCGAGCAGCCTGTTCGGCGGCGGCCCGGGCGGCAAGAGCCTCGGCGACAGCAGTCCGTGAGAAATCCTCCCCGTCATTGCATCCGCCGTATGAAAGTGGAACCGTTGTAGAGGGAGGCAGGCAAGGAGGATGTCTGTTGCCGGGGTCAAGCATCGTGGTCTTGGAATGCGGGAAGTTGAGCATCGCAGGACGATTCTCGGGGTTGGCGAAGCCATGGACGCTCTTCTCCTGCTTGCCACATTGACGTCGCGAGGACTTTGCAGGGATAGCCGGAGCAACCTCGTCGGTCCCCGCAACTTGGGTGTCAGACTGGCAATGAACGGAAAAGTCCTCCGATGGAAGATTAACAATCCGGTACGTCGAGGGCGCTTTGGGTTGCACATCAGGAGAGATCATAGGTGCGATGGCCATCGGCTCAGTTCCACAAAGAAGAACAGATGGATGACTGCGCAAACCGTTGGGATGATGATAGATGGTACTCTCCAGCAAGTCGTTGGCCAAGCGGTCGACATTTTGATCAGTGTTGCCGCCTGGATCAGGGTAACTGAAGGGATGGGCGGGACCGCTTCGATTCTCAGGCAGCGAAGGAATGACGGGAGCTGTTCCAAGTGTCAGCTGGTACCGAACGAGACGAGAGAACTGTCACTTACTTTGAGTCTCCTTTCTCTCTTCCTTCTTGTTGCCCTTACCACGACGACGCGGCGCCAGATTGGCGAGGGTGCTCATGGATTTTTTCTTCATCGTACATGAGGCGTCTTTCGATTGGGAGAAAGGAGTGGATAGGACGTCGAACGTCCTAGGGGAAGAGAGATAATTAACGACAAAAACAGTGAAGCGAATGTTGCAGAGGCTCTTGATGCTGCGAAACTGGACAGTGAGTGATTAGCCAACCTGAAAGATTTCTTCCCAAGTGCTCGACGCTGACGAACAAAAGTTGACGAATTCGAAGCGCTTCAGATGGCACTGATGGCAATCAGAGAACGGCCTCTGGGCAGCGCCTCGTCTGGATCTGACATACCTTGCAACGGGATTGAGGTTCTTTTCCTGAGATCTACTGTTGCCAAAGCCAGCAACAGGCGACCAAGTTGATTGTTGCGATTGCTTCGAGGAATTTGGGGAATCGTGGAAAGCGAACGTGGGGGACACGATGGTGAGGTGCAGAAAAGGAAGAAAAGAGGCGAAAGAACCGAAACCGCCCTTCCAACTGAACAGGTTTTTTCTTGGGAAGGTTCGGACGTTCCTCCTCTCAACACCAAGGCCACTGTCGTGGCTTCCTGTTTCGAGCCTCCGAGATAAGCCCTATGTTTCGTTCGGCGTTTGATTTGTTCCACAGGGGGATAAGAGCGGAGACTCGAGCGTAGTCCCTGGGTGACGACTGACTTGCACTGGAAACCTCAGGTGACGATAAGTCGGCCTGCGGCATGGGGGGCGAGTCTAAGCCGCAATTTGAAAGAGCTCACGGAAGATAGGCTCAGTGGCTTTATCTGGGTGTGAACCTGAGTGCCCCTGAAAGCCTCTGACTTGCACCATCCGCAGTTGTCATCTTTCAGTTTTGGGTTGAGGGGTGAGGCCCAACAAAGTCCTCATTCGAAAGGGGTTGCAGCATGTCGTCCAGGGAAACAGCAAAGAGACTCGAATAGCCTCGAAGCAATATCAAAGAAACCTTTGGGAGATCTCGATTGTATGTCATGTTGACAAACATCATAGATTGTGGCTGTGGCGGAGACTTACCTCAAGACATGAGAACGCCATGGCTGGTTATTGCGCTGAAGAAAAGCAGGAAACCGGGACTGCGCAGAGTCATTATCTAGCATTTTCGGCCCGAAATCATACACATATTAGGGTATCGGTAACTCTGTTTGGAGACACGGAGATGGCGCTTCGCATCAGGAAGAGCGCAGCCATAGGATCAAGCAGAACCGTAAGACGATGGGGCGTAACATGGCTTGGGTAGATGGAGCGCAACTTCACTGGGACATTGATGTGCTTCTAGGAGAATTGTTCACATTTTGACAAAGAGACAATGAACATTTAGTTTGAACTTCGTAAGTGCTGGCTCAACATACTCTGACAGAAAGGGGATAACCACGAAGCATATGTTATATTGCCTATCCCATTAACCCATAGAAATTCGATAGGAAAGTTTGGTAAGGCGGTTCATAAGTAAAACAATCATCCGAAACAATCACATTTGGCAGGCGAAAAGAAAGTCCAAAGATGGACATTGGAACTAGCTTCGTCCGACCATCACCGGAGTGCACCGTGGCCGGCGACGGAGCCTGCGGGCAGCCGTTTTGACCGGTGAACGTTCTAGATGGGGCGAACTACGGGGACGGAAGCATAGGAGGGGCACCGGAGGAGAAGCGGGCCTGCAGCCAGCCGCAGCCAGCTGCGGAGATGCTCGGAGCATCTCGGTGTTGGGATCTGGATCCCTCGAGAAGAGGTTTGTGCCCAGCCCTTCGCCTTTTGCCGTTACATGGGCAGCGGGCCAGGGGAGGGAATTTTCTAACAGAGCATGTCTCGGAAAGGAGACAGCGGTTCGGAATAACAGTAGGTACAGATCGCTGCAAGCAAACAAACATGGAAGGCAAATAATTCGCCAGCCGAGGTTTCTGACCATCCCGATCATCTTAGTCAGCCCTCATGGATGCGAGAGAAAGTTGCTGACCGGCTTACGGGCACGACATACTCGGTTTCGCCGTTGGAACGCACGCGGACATCGGAAAATGCGAGAAGAGGGTCCCGTTTGAAGCGGAGACGCCGCCACCGGAGAGGACCAATTGGAAAAGATTGGACCGTGATTGGTCTGTCAGCAGCTCCAATGCGCAACTTCATTGGTTCATTTCCAGGACGGCTTGGCAGGAAGGTTCCACGCTCAACTCCGTCTCCTGCCGAGTCCCAGCCGTGCCTGCCAAAGCGGGAAGGGAAAGCTGGTCCGTTTCAAATCCCGTCAACTTTCTGGCGCAGTGAACCCTTTTGACTTCCCTCCTGTGCCACCTCAACCGTCGTACTTCTCCCATCTTCAGCCCCAAACCTTCCGAGTCATCCCTTTCCAAAATAACGTCGTTCTCGTCGTCTTTAATCCCTCCCGCCGAATTGAAATCCTGACGACACCCGTCGGGCGAAAGAAAAGTCCTCAACCACCCCGAATCTCCTATTGCGACTCCCGCGACCCCTTTGCTTGTTCGCAATTCAACAACTGTTCGCCACTTCCTCACATCGACTTAACCCCCCATTCAATACTCGTAGCTGCAATACAATCCGACGACGCCGTAATCCAACATGTCTTTCTCCAGCCTTGTTCAGGATCTTACCATGAGGGAGTCCGGCGTCCCGCGCCGACCCCGCGGTCCTCAATCAGTCTCTACCATTGATGATGGCCGGTCGCAAGTTTCCCGTGCCATGTCTTATGCCAGCACAGCGGCGACAAGCGTCAGCATCTCTGGCGACATTTCCAGCCAGCTGCACGGCGGCTACTTCCACCCCCTTGCCCGCTCGTGGCAAGCCGAGAGACAGTTGACCAAGGTGAGTCCTGCGACTCAAGGCATAATCCAGTCATCCGTGAACCATTGCTGATTTGAACCCTCTTCAGTCAATGCTCATCTACCCCCTCTTCATTTCCGACCAAGACGACGAGGAGATCCTGATTCCCTCTTTGCCCGGCCAATACCGCCGAGGCATCAACAAAACAATGGCCTGGCTGGAGGTGCTTGTGCGCAAGGGTCTGCGCTCCGTGATGCTCTTCGGCGTGCCCGTGCGCCCGGGGACCAAGGACGCTCTTGGTACCGCCGCCGACGACCCAGAGGGACCCGTTATCAGAAGCATTCGCGCTATACGCCAGCGTTTCCCTCAGCTCTTCATCTGCGCCGATGTCTGCCTGTGCGAGTACACTTCCCACGGCCACTGCGGTATCCTGCGTGACGACGGCAGCTTGAACAATCAGCTGTCCGTTGACCGCATTTCCGACGTTGCCATTGCTTACGCGGTCGCTGGCGCACACTGCGTTGCTCCCTCAGACATGAACGACGGCCGGATCCGTGCCATCAAGCTGAAGTTGATCGAGGAGGGCATCGCTCACAAGACGGTGCTTATGTCATACTCGGCCAAGTTCTCGGGTTGCTTGTACGGTCCGTTCCGTGACGCCGCAGGCTCTGCCCCGTCATTCGGCGATCGCAAGTGCTACCAGCTGCCTCCGGGCGGCCGTGGCTTGGCCCGCCGCGCAATTGTCCGTGACATTGGCGAGGGTGCCGACATCATCATGGTTAAGCCCGCCAGCCAGTATCTCGACATTATCAGCGACGCAAAGGAGCTCGGCAAGGACATGCCTGTCGCCGCGTACCAGGTCAGTGGCGAATTCGCCATGATCCACGCGGCGGCCAAGTCTGGCGTTTTCGACTTGAAGGCGATGGCTTTCGAGTCGACTGAAGGTATCCTGAGAGCTGGTGCGACCATTGTCATCAGCTACTTCACCCCCGAGTTCCTCGACTGGCTCTCCACTTAAAAGATGACGGACGGTATGGCTTGATGATATAAAGGCAAGGTGTTCTGGGCGTATTTGACTGTTTTTTGCTATTGTTATCATGACGTAGGAGAAAGCGGCATGATGGATTCGGTGGTATAGGCTGGGATGTAACGGGTTCCGGGAGGCGTTGGTTTCGCATATTTGTACAAGACACACTCCCTTTATGGTTCAGTGTCAGACGTAGAGGATACCTAAAAAGCTAATGAGACGGCGGGTATAACGGGACGATGCGACGAGACGACGTTCGGGCTGCGGCTAACTACAGACTCGACGTGTTTGTGTCAGGCGGGTGGTTCTCTGTATTCCAAACTCAAAAAACACCACACGTAAGATGTATTATTACTAAGTATCGACATGGTTCAAGAAACACGGATTAACTCTTCTGTTTGTACAAATTTAGATCTCGCGTCCCGTGTCTGCAATGCTACGTTGATGTGTACTACTATTCATTACATCACATGAGGAAACGAGACGAGACGAGCTGAGACTCACGAGAGCGAGCCTCAGCGAGGTATTCGGGCTACGGAGTAGAATTAAGCGTAGTCAGTCAGCAAGGCGCGCCGCACAGAAGTCTTTTGTTCCGGGGGACGGGACTGGTTACTGGATCGTGCTAGTCTGGACAGTGGATTTGAGAATCAGAAGAAGTCTCACAGCCGAGAGCAACGTCGATCCAGGGACGCCTGTTCCCTTGGCCCCCTGGGTTTCTTGGGGGGCACTGGGGGGTATTGTCTATTGAAAGCCAGTGAGCCGAAAGTTGACTTGGTGGATGGTGGTCTGACTCGGCTTTCGGATGCTGATCGTCAGTCTGTTCTTGATTTTAATTGGGGACATGCTACGCAGTACTACCTAGAGGCTAAGGGGAGCCGAGAGAGAGAGAGAGAGAGACGGGATCCTAAAACAGAGGCCTGGGGTTTCTCCCCTTCTCGGTTGCGAAACCCGGCGGCTCGCTGTTACGGGTATGGGTATGCTGGAATAATGCTGTGCGGTCTTCTGTAGGTGTGGCTGACTGGCACATTGTTGATAGAGGAGGCCGAGGAACTGGAGTTGAGTCAACTCACTGAGCCTAAACTCTTAAAGGAAGAGGACTGATCGGATTAGGTATTATAACCGTCTACGCGACTGGATGGGAGATGAATTGGCAAATGACTGTTGGTATGGATCGGAGATGGGAGACGGAGCACTTGTCCCAGACATCATACATGTCAAATTATTTCCGTCTGTATCAGTAGTCTAGTACGCAAATCCGCAGATAGCGGTTGAGGCAAACTCCCAACAGCAGCACATGGCAGTACCTGTGGCAAGTGTGGCAGGCACGGCAGGACGGACGGGCGGTGCGGTGCCTGCCATGCATCCTGCGTGACGGATTGCCAATCTGGAACAAAGCCAAGGGGTTGACTGCCGGGAAACAAGCTGTACCCCTGACGGGGGGAGGAGAAGACCAAGAGTACATACTTGCATTCCCACTGGAATCTTGAGGAGATGCATACCTTAGGTAAGGTAGGTACTGTAGCCTGCACGCGCTGGGCGCGCCACTGCCTCTCTCCTACGTTCCTATCAAGTCTCGTCTAGTGTGCCAGTCCAACGACATGAGGCGCGCCGAGGTTGGAAGTTGGGAGGCTGGAGATTCATTGGAAGAGACGGGTACCTACATGACCGTGCCACACTGATACCTTAGCTAGGCGAATTGGCGAAGTGCGGTACCTGGCCCGCGACTCCAACTTCCAGACCTGCAAGTGTGCATGCCGTGCCATGCCGTCCTCGCCGCCGCCGCCGCACACCTGGACCGTCGCAGCGTCTCGAACACTCGAGCCTTGTGCCCCCCGGTTTCCCGAGCGCGGTAGCGTGGATCCAAGCGCCGATCTCAACCTTGAAATTACTGCAAGTTTGCAACACCTTGAGACCACCGCCATCCATCCATAGTGTCCATAGCCAGTACCCCCGACGGACGCACAAAGTACCGAAAAACTGGACCACCTCCATTTGTTGGAGCCCATCGAATCGCTCTCTTTTGGCCAATATGTGGCATTCCTCGATATTCCCCAGCACAAGTACTCCAGTCCGCTTACGACAGCTCTTTGCGAAAAAGTGGTACCGGGGAGCTTCTGATTCCTGATAAGTCATGCGCCGAGACCTGATATCGGTCCTGAGATGCCGTCTTTTGGCTTGATGGGCGGCCATGGCATTCTCTCGGCGGGAACAGAGAGTAACCCTACGAACGTTTCCATCTTATGATCTTCCCCTTTTGAGCCGCCCTCGAGGTTTTGAGTCCCAGTGATCCCCTTTTTCCCCATGGATCCTGAGACCCTTGCCAATGCTCATCCTCCTCTCCTTGGACCTTGGCCCCCCTCCCCCGGTCCGGTCGGTTCGGCGTCATGCCCAGACGAGCCGTTGAACCGTCATTCGTTCCACCCCGTTGAGAATATTCTGCAGAAAGGTGTCTAGGTGTGATGCGCCCGGCGGAAAGACTCAAGAAGGGAGGGAGGAAGGAGGGGCGGGAGATGATGGGCGGCGCGCCGCGGCGGACTGGGGGTTCCACTTGTTGGAGGAAAAAGAGGACATCCCATCCCTCTCTCCATGTCTCCATGAAAGGGGAATCGGGGGACTGGAGACTTCTATTGGATCATTCCAAGGTTGGTTTGGATCCATTGGAGAAGAGCCGACGATATTGAGAACTTTGAGAGGAGGACTGGATCCAATATTGATTGATTGACTCCGTAGGCCCTTTACGTACCCTGCGTGGCTTGCGTATCTCAGACACTGGGACGAGTGTGCAATATCTAGTCATGTTACGCACCATTCCACACTCAATCCACCGGGCTGTTCTTCGTTGGACAGATATCGACTGTGTCTTGGATCCTCGCAGGTTTTTTTGTGATTTTATTTTTACTTTGGTTTTTCTCACCCAGATTGTTTGGCGGGCTTTTGTGTATGCATCCCTAGTAAATAGCCAGCTGAGGTAAGTGCGCAGTGCAAAGTCAACAAACAGATTAGATCTGCCGATGCTGCATTCCCAGCATTGTCTTGCTTCGTCTCGCTTCATTCAAATGATATTCCCGGGGCTCGTAGGGTCATCGTTTATCGTTTTGTTTCCCCTTTATTCTTGTGAG